CTTTTTTTTGTTCTTTGTTTGTTAATTTTTATTTAGCTCATCCTTTTATTTTCAATTTTTTACTTTTATTATTAATTAATTAATCTTATTATTTCATATTTTTTCTTCATTTTTTCCTTCTAATTAACTATTTAATGATATATTCTTTCTTCAATATTTAAAAAGTTACAATAAAATTGGTGACGAAGGTGCATCAGGCTTAGGTTCTGCTTTAGCAAATTGCATTAATCTCTCAAATTTGACACTTTACCTTAAGTAAAATCAGTTTATTTGTTTTAGATTGTGATATTTTTAATTATAAAAACTAATTAAAAACAACAAAGCTCTTTTTTCTTTTTCTTTTCATTGTGCTAGCTTTTTTTTGTTAATTTCTTTAGCTCATCCTTTTATTTTAAAATCATACTTTTATTTATTAATTAATTAATCTAATTATTTCATATTTTTTCTTCATTTTTTCCTTCTAATTAACTATTTAATGATTTATTCTTTCTTCAATATTTAAAAAGTAAGAATTAAATTGGTGACAAAGGTGCATCACATTTAGCTTCTGGTTTAGCAAATTGCATTCATCTCTCAAATTTAACACTTGACCTTCGGTAAAAACAGTTTATTTGTTTTGGATTGTGATATTTTTAATTATAAAAACTAATTAAAAACGATAAAGCTCTTTTTTCTTTTTCTTTTCATTGTGCTTGCTTTTCTTTGTTCGTTTTTTGTTAATTTATTTAGCTCATCCTTTTATTTTCAAATTTTTTACTTTTATTATTAATTAAATTATCTTATTATTTCATATTTTTTCTTCATTTTTCCCTTCTAATTAACTATTTAATGATATATTCTTTCTTCAATATTTAAAAAGTTACAATAAAATTGGTAACAAAGGTGCATCAGATTTAGCTTCTGGTTTAGCAAATAGCATTAATCTCTCAAATTTGACACTAGACCTTTAGTAAAATCAGTTTATTTGTTTTGGATTGTGATATTTTTAATTATAAAAACTAATTAAAAACAATAAAGCTCTTTTTTCTTTTTCTTTTCATTGTGCTTGCTTTATTTTGTTCTTTCTTTAATAATTTTTATTTAGCTCATCCTTTTATTTTCAAATTTTTTACTT